CCATTGGCTCCTGCTGGAGGGGGCGGGGAAGCCACAACCCTAGGGCCTCTCATGGCCACCAGTCTGGCCCCAATTCCTCAGCCTGCGCTTGGTTGGCAGGTTCCTGCAGCGCCCATCTCCCCTGAAAGGGTAGCAGGGAAGCCTGGGAAGCCCGCCTTTAAATTGCTGTTTCCTTTGAAGGGTTAGTGTATGTTCGGTGGCAGGTGTAGTTGCACTGTCCTCTGGTGGTGCCCCTGAGCCGCCTTAAACTGGTACCCGGGTTGTATAGGTCCTTACTGGGATCTAGGACTTTCTGGGGAGGGTAAGAAGCAGGGATATGGGGTGGGCTGGATTGTCACCCCACCCCAACCCCTCCAACAGATACTGCTCTCAGATAGGTAGGCCCCAGTCTCCTGACTACTCTTTTCTCCTCTCCCACCTAGGACAGAGAAAGCCACATCAGTGCTCCTGGCTGATCCCTGCTTCCAGCTTCGCTCCATACGCTATCTTCTGGGGCATCCAGAGCCCCCTGCCCCTGGCACTGCTCTACCTGCGCCTGACCGGAAGCGCTTTTCCCTACAGAGCTGTGAGTTGGCCAGGGTGGGTCAGGGAAGAGGGATTTGGGGCTGGGCCAGGTCAGGAGTCTCAAAAAAAGCAAATCCCCAGGCTAGGGCTACTCAAGAGGCACTGATCCTAGACCCACATTCAGCCTGACACCTCTTACCACCCCCAGACACAGATTACATCAGTGCCGAGGAGCTGGCCCAGGTGGAACAGATGCTGGCACACCTGACCTCTGCATCTGCCCAGGCAGCGGCTGCCTCCCTGGTGAGTGGGGCCACCACACACACACAGGTCCACACTCACCACCAGAATGCATGACTGTGCACACTGTGTAGACATATGGACATTATTCCATATGTCCACTTGTCTGGGCAACCAACCCCAGCCCACCTTGCACTGTGCTCCTTGCAGCCCACCAGTGAGGAGGACCTCTGCCCCATCTGCTATGCTCACCCCATCTCTGCTGTGTTCCAACCCTGTGGCCACAAGTCCTGCAAGTAAGTGGGCTCCATGGGCACAGAAGGTGGGCAGGGCAGGCGGAGCAGGGATATACAGGCCCCCCTCATCCCCTCCTGTTGCAGAGCCTGTATCAACCAGCACCTGATGAACAACAAGGATTGCTTCTTCTGCAAAGCCACCATCGTGTCGGTGGAAGACTGGGACAAGGCAGCCAACTCGAGTGCCACCTCCTCTGCTGCCTAGGTTTGCCTAGTCCACACAACAGGAGCCTCCACCCTTGAACCCAGACCCAGGCTGGGCCCTATTTATGAGCTCCCCTTGCCAGCCTCCACCACCCCGCACCACCACATCCAGCCTCCTTGCTTGTGTGTAACCTTGCTGGTGGGGGCCCAGCCATGCCCTAATTGTGCCTGAGCTTGACTTTCAGTCTGGGCCACAGTGAGCATTAAATTATTATTCCATACAGCCCTGGCCCGGCCCTTCTTCAGGGAGTGGGCTTTGTGGGGTGTGCCCAGCAAGGATCCTGCCAGATTATGTCCACAGGAGAAGGCAGGTGTCCAACAGCTTCAGCCTTGTCTGAGCCTCCCAGACAAATGGCAGCGAGTCCAGGGCCTTCTGACGGGTCAAGCCAGTGTTCTCCTTGTCAATAATGGGGGCTCAGCCAGCCCCGAGCAGCCCCTCACATGATGATTCGAGGTTCTGGCACAGACTCGCCAATGGACTTGTGGGGCAGCACGCTGGCCCCATTGAGGTAGAGCTCGTCGTTAACTATGACGTCCTCGCCCAGCACCGTCACGTTCTCCATCCGAACCTTGGGGAGGAAGGGCAGCCTGTCAGTGTGGCAGGCACATCCCCTGCCCCTCTCCCCATAAGGCCCGGCCCTGAAGCTTGCTTACCCACTGGCCGACGTGGCAGCGCCAGCCCACGATGCAGGACTCGAGCCAGGAGTGGGAGCGGATGTGGGCATCTCGCAGCACTGTGCACCGCCGGATGCACACACCGTCCTCCACCACCACGCCAGGACCCAGGCTCACGTTGGGGCCAATGCTGCAGTTCTGGCCAATGCGGGCACTTGGATCCTGAAGACAGTGGGGAAAACACAAGTGGGCTTTTTGTCCCCAAAACTGAGGGGGGTAATGATGGCTGGACAAGGGCCTCACCACCAGCACGTTGCCCACAATGCCAGGACCTGAGCACAGTTGCTCAGGCTTCTTCTGTCGCAGTGACTGTAAGAAGAGGCACATGCCGGTGAGGAAATCCTTGGGCTGCCCAATGTCCATCCAGAAGCCTGTAGGGAGGGAACGCATCAGGGGCTCAGCCCCACCACAGACCACCCCCGCCCTGCGGCCTCCCTGCCTCACCCTGCAGCTCCATGGCATATAGCTGCCCCTCCTTGGCCATGACAGGGAAGATCTCCTTCTCAATGGATGTAGGCCGCAGCTGTGGGAGTGGGCAGCTCGTGAGCAGGGTCACGGTGGTGGCAGCCTGCCCTACCCCAGCCCACCCAGGAGCTGCTCTTACACACCTGGATCCGCCGCAGCACGGCAGGGCTCAGGATGTACATGCCTGCGTTGATCTTGTTGGACACAAACACCTGCGGCTTTTCGACGAACCGGTGAATGCGGCCTGTGTCGGCCTCACACACCACCACGCCGTACTTGGAGGGCTCCTCCACTCGAGTCACCTAAACGCAGGGGACCTCAGGCCTAGTCCAGTGTTCCTGAACCTTGATGGGCATGCTGTCCTAAATCTCAGGGCCTGTTCCCCAAATGCTTAAATACTGCACAGCTCTGCGCCCACAACATAAGGGCTGGGCAGTTCAAGGCTGGGGGGTGGGGGGAGGCTGGACATGGGAGGTGGGAGTGTCAGAGAAGAAAAACCTGCTCCTTACCAAAATGGAGCCCTCCTGGCCATGGTTCCGGTGGAACTGCACCATGGCTTGGAAAGGGAAGTCGCAGATCACGTCACTGTTGAGGACGAAGAAAGGGTCTGCAGTCTCAGAGAGCAGATCCCGGGCCAGTGCCAGAGGCCCAGCTGCAGGAGGGAACAGGTCACCAGGTCACCATTTTTC